AAAAAATATATTTTTTATTTACTTATGTATCTTTTCATATTTTCACCAATAATATATATGATACAAATTTTTATCGTCATTAAACGTTTGACAAATAATATATTTGGTCTAAATTCTAATCTTCAATAAACATTTTGACTAATAATATACCTCATTCAAATTCTAATCTTAAATAAAATTTTGACCAATAATATATTTCAGCCAACTTCTAATCTCATATGAAATATTTACCAATAATATATCTTATCCGAATAGATTAGAATACATTAAATCTTCCTGAACATAAATAAACTTGTACATTTCTTTTGCCTAAAATGAATTTAAGTAGCTTAGCCCTCACTAGATGGCGATATACTCACCAAACCATTATGAACATTCCGTGTTTAATTATTTAAATACTATTTCCTTGAGATGACGAAACGTTTATAATCGACAGTTATTTGTATTTAACTACAATAATTAGCCACATAGACTATAACTGTGGCGTTAAAAAGGCGACTAACTTTTAATAAGGGGGCGTGCATAAGGGTCAAGCGGGGGTATGGACGGACAATAACTCTTTGCATATGGACTCCATCGTTTTGGTGAGTTTAACGCTATTTTGTTTTAATGCATACGATAGTTCCCCGTCACACCAAACACGCTCGCCTTTTCAGCCGTGGGGGCGTTATAATGTGACGGTCAATCCCACTATTCGTTGGTAAAAGAGTAGCCCAAGAGTTGGCGGTGGGTGGTGATGACTAGCTGCCTTCCCACTAGTCTTACACTTCTAAATTAGGGACGGCTAGCGCAGATAGCCCTCGTGTAGCTTTGCGCGAAATCCAAAAAAACAAACAAACAGTTATTATTCGGTGACCTATTTCAAATGATCTCAACATTTGTAAGAAGAACCGAGTATTTCTAGTGAAAAATTTAATATTTTCCATATAGTTCTTTTATTTTTCATGTAATTTCTATCTTTCACAAAGTGTCATAGTATAAAACGTCGCGTCTAAGCTTGTTCACAGGACTGTGATTCGTTTACATTGGTCCTTGATACCAGTCCTCCTTTCGTCCTTCATACCAGTCCTCCTTTCGTACTGCTAAGTAATTATCAGAAAGAGTTATCTCTCATTCCACGTGTCCCTTTAGGGCTTCTTTTGACAGAACAGTAATTCTCATACGAGTTCTAAGAATAAGAAGGTCTTGCATAATTCGCTTTGCCTTTAGTCGAAGGTGTGGTTATACTTGGAAGTTAACTTAGGGAAATATTCGTGGAGTTTTGCGTTTAACTTATGACCAAAACTTAGAGCCATTAAACTTGTTTGATAGATAGTTAAATGAGAATATACGTAGCCGAATCGTCTCGAATGAACGGTCATAATGATATTGATAACACACTACAAAATGAGATGACAGCGTGGCCAAGTGGTTAGTATTCTCGGATTGTGAAGCCGAGCATTAATGGTTTGCGTCTCACTGCCGCGAAAACGCGCTGTGTACTTTAGGTCCATGGGTGAGTTATAAGAGTGATGGTGATATCCTTCTAGAGATAAAAGTAGTCCAAGAGTTGGCGGCAAGTGCTGTTGACTGACTGCTTTCCCTTTAGTCTTTCACTTCAAAAGGAGGGAGATAGTCCTTTGTATAACTTTGCGCCAAAATAAT